AAAACACCAAAAAAAAAAAAAAAAAAAAAAAAAAAAAAAAAACCTCAGTTAACTACGTGAGAGTCTAGCAATGTAACTATTACACCATAGCTGGTCCCTGTCATAAGCTATTTTTTTCTTTTTTTCAATATTTATTTATTTAATTTCATATGTTATTATTATTATTTAGTTAATAATAGACCAAAGACAGAAAGAGAGAGAAAGAAAGAGAGGAAAAGTGAGAAAGCAAGCTGCCAGGTCTGGGACTCAAACCACGGTCAGCCATGAGGAGATCCAGCACCTTTAACCACAGTGCCACCTGCTGGGCCTCAGAAACTATTCTTAATATACTTCTGAAGTGATATATTTCTCTACTTATTATTGTAAATACATACAAGTTATTTTGTAAATAAGAAATAAAATGCTCAGAAGTATTTACAAGGAACTGTTGCCTATGGTGAATATTCAATCATGGAAAGGTGAGTGAACATTACTGAGTGGCATTTGAATAAATGTAGCATGAGTTTCTCCTGACAAGGTAGCAAGACTATATAGAAACTTTTGTTAAAATGAATATTTTAAGGACACAATATTCTTTGAAAACTTGTTTTCTGGAACTTTTGCTTAAATGATTTATATAAAATATACTATATATAAGTTTACTAATATTTATTTCAAGTGCTCGTTCAATGACTTGTCAAGAAAAGCAGTCAGGGGCACAGACACACAAACATGGCAACAGCTACGAGCAACACTGATTAGATAGCAGCTGCTCGTCTCCTACACACTCTTGTTTTGAGTCCCAGAAATGTCGACCTTAGCCTTTGACTCTTCTATCATGTGCTCCCTTGTATTCTGTGCATTGTCCTCTGTTAGAACTCTCCTTTCTTTCCAGCTTAGGCCAGGCAGAAGGGCTCCCGCAAAGAAGGGTGGCAAGAAGAAGAAGGGCCGTTCTGCCATCAACAAGGTGGGGACCCAGGAAGAAACCATCAACATTCACAAGCGCATCCATGGTGTGGGCTTCAAGAAACATGCCCCTCGGACACTCAAAGAAATCCAGAAATTTGCCATGAAAGAGATGGGAACTCTAGATGTGCACATTGATACCAGGCTCAACAAAGCTGTCTGGGAAAAAGGAATAAGGAACGGCCCATATCGAATCCATGTGCGGGTGTCCAGAAAATGAAACGAGGATGAAGATTCACCCAGCAAGTTCTACACTCTGGTGACCTGTGTACCTGTTACCACTTCCAAAAATCTACAGTCAATGTGGATGAGAACTAACTGCTGATTTTCAAATAAAGTTATAAAGCCAAAAAAAAAAAGAACTCTCATCTCTAGTCACCCACTGTCATTAGATGGGAAGTTCATGTCTCTCTCCTTTATATTATTGAAATTTCAGGGCCTAGCTTGGTGCTTGCAACAAAGTACATGCCTCTTCAATATGCACTGAGTTGGATTTCATTGACCACTAAAGTGATATTTAAGCAGAATGTCACAAAATCAGTGTTAGGAGGCTCATGGGGAAAGGGCATTTGGGGGTGAGAAACAATCTCTCCAATGACACAGGCACGAGAAACAGTATGTTTTATAGGATTGTAAGGAATTTTACATGGCAATTGCACAAAGGGTCATGACAGAGGATGACAACACAATAATTAGGAGCTAGTGTGGTCAGCAAGTGGTATAGTGGTTAAGGGACTGGACTCCCATTTGGCTGACCGTGGTTTAAGTCTCAGACCCAGTGGCTTGAAATTCATGCCAGGTGCATTTGCATGCATACCTAAAATTACGAGAGGAGAATGGAAGAGAAAGGACTGCAGCATGGCTACCTCCACTGGGGGAGTGATTGCTTGTTTTCTGTCTCTCTGGCTCGCTGGTGAGTATCCTATAGCAAAAATCTCTCGAAAGAAAGAAAGACAGGAAGAAAGAAAACCAATTAGGAGCTAGATGTTCAGGGACTTGTGCTAAGGATGTCCTGTTGCATAAACTTAGTGCATTGAGCTAAGGCGTTACACGGCAGGCAATGGGAAACTGCTTAAGGAAGCCTCCAAACGGGATGGTAAGAACACATATTGCAAAGACAGATGGTCTCACAGGAGTATTATGTGGAGAAAACAGGATTGAATGTTGTCATTAAACAACAATTTAAAAGGCATCTGTAATGGCTCAGACACTGTATAGGAAGGTAAGAAGTGATCATAGGGTCAAGTAGCCCTAGGCTTCCTACTGAGGGGGCTTCCTTCTTCTCTTTGGCTCACAGTTGGCACAGCCCTGGCACTTAGAACCCTGGCTCTGCCATGTCGTTTGTTTGAGCCTCAGTTACAGCATCTGTAAAATGGGGATACCAATACTTACGCCTCACCTTCCTGTTTCAAGATGACTACTCATATCCTCTCCTTTCTCCTCAAACCTCCAACACCCTTTGGCTATCACTTCTCTGAGCTGTTGGTCTTTTTACTGTGCTGAGAAAAATTAAAGCAATCAGAACAGAACTTTGTCCTCCCCATTTAATCTATCAACCTCCTGTGACACATATTGCTCTGAATGCACTGTCCCTGCTTCTGTCTAAAGCCACCACACCCCTTGTGATTTGATTCCCACTCCTTTTTATCTACTCAAGGACTTTCTTGTAGGTGTCACTTCCCTCCCTGCATCTCCAATTTTTTCTCCCACTCTACTGGATCATTCTCACCAGTACACACACAATCTGAGACACAATCTCCTCATCCCTCAGTCTTTCCCACATTTTTAAGTTTTCTCTCTTTTTTTTTTTTTTTTGAGAGATTTTCACTATAGGGTGCGTGCACTCGCCAGATAGAGAGAGAGAGACAGAGAGACAGAAAGTGAGAAATCACCCCCCAGGGGGGATGGTCACGCTGCAATCCCTTCTCCTCCATTCTCCTCTCGGGATCTTGGGCACACACACACATGCACCTGGCGTGAGTTTTAAGCCACCGGGTCCGGGACGTGACCTGCGGTCGACTACGGGAGTCCAGCGATGTAGCCATTACGCTAACTGCTGGTCCCTGTTTTCTCTATGTTAACTGGAGTTATGTTTCCATCATTTACAACGGAAGAAGTCCTGATTAATACAGGGCATGGGTGAATGTCTAGGGAAACAGCTCATGATTGGTATTGTCATTTTCATACCATAGAAAAGTAGAACAAGGTTCAGTGGCTAAAAATCTGCCCAAAGTCTTTGACTACTACTAGCTCATAAGAAGCAAACAAATAAAAAACCTCCCTTATTTTTCACCCCCTACAGTAATTTCCCCTTCAACCATCCCTATAATTTTTATTTTTTTAAGAGAGACTTTTGTTATAGGCCACGTGGGCTCACCAGAGACAGAGACAGAAAACAAGAAATCACACCTCGGGGGAATGGCCATGCCACAATCCTTTCTCCTCCATTCTCCTGTCAGGAGTTTGGGAATGCACACACACATGCCCAGCGTGAGTTTTAAGCCACCAGGTGTGGGACTTGAACCACAGAAGACGACATGGGAGTCCAAAGACATAACCATTATGCCATCTGCTGGTCTCTCAACCATCCCTTTTATTGAAAAACCTCTTGAAAGAATTTGTCTCCCCTCCATTGCTTTGAACACACATTATCTTGCTTTCAAATAAAACTCTACTTATGGACAGCTCTAACCAAGTTCACCAATGACCTTCTTGTTGCCAATTCTGGAGGTCAAGCCCATGTCCTTATTTTTAATAATTTATTAGCTGCATTTGGCATTCTGGATCAGTCTTTCTGGAAACACTTTCCTCACTTGGCTTTTAGGATGGTATTGCCTCCAAGCTTCCTAATCATAGGGCTCCTGGAGTGGTGTAATAATCTCCTGGTTTCCCTCCTACCTCGTTAGCTGTTGGATCTTGCTTGGGGCTCAGTCCTCCAAGCTCTTTTCTTTCCTATCTATGCTCAATCTCATCCCTTCTCATGGTTCAAAAACCACCCAGGTGCTGGAGAACTCCCCAGTTTCTCCCCCAGACTCCAGAGTGGAGTATCCAAGTACCCTCAAGATATGTGGATGTCAAAAAGGCATCTCAAATGCAGTGATCTGAACAGAGAAGTTGATGGCGCCACCACCAGTCTGCTCCTTCCATGCTTCCCACTTCAATAAATCACAGGACTATGTACCCAGGTGCTTTCTCTCTTTTTTTCACACCTACATCTAGCATCTAGCAGAAGCCTCTACTTTCGAAAATAAGTCCATATGTCAAGGGCAAGCAGGTAGTTGAGGTACTGGATGCTACATGATCCAACATGTGGTCTGAATCCCAGATCCAGTGGCTTAAAAAACATGCCCTGCAAGCAGGTGTGCTCAAATTCCTGAGAAGAGAATGGAGAAGGGATTGTAGTGTGGCCATCCCTCCTGGAAGGTAATTTCTTACTCTCTCTCTCTCTTTCTCTGGTGAGTGCAGCACACACCCTAGGCAAAAAATATTTTTTTTTTCTCTTTTTTTCTAAACCCTTATCATCCCTTTAAGTGGAAGTTTTAGATTTTTTTTTTAAGTGGAATGGAGGAGTCCGACCCGGTGAGGCCCCAGGATCTGTTTGAGCCCCCTGACCTTTGAGCTCTGCTTCTGGTCGGATCAACACGTTGGCAAGGCTACTGTTGTGCACTCCCCGACCTTGAAACAAAGCTTGGGTCAGTTAGCATGTCAGCAAGGCTGCTTGTTACTTGCTCCAGAGAATTGAGGCAGCCTCACTGGGAAGCGACCCCCTCCTCTGACTCCCCAATTTACTATTATGAAAGAATTGCATAGCTCTCTTATACATCTTGAGTATATAATAAAATCTTTCAGGAAGTCCCCGACCGCTCTCCTTTGCTTTAATTACTTACTATTAATTACAATGCTTTATCTTTATGGTCACAATAGAGGGTGGGCTGAAGTTTTTTCTAGGCAGAAGTAATTTTGACTTTTGGAAGGCCCTTAAATTTTTTTTTTTTTTATGTACAATAGGATTAGGCCAAAACTGGCCCAGGACACTTCTGCCCTCTCTAAGTGAAATAGATAAATGTATTAGGACTCTTCAAATTAAGTTTTAGATCCCTACAAAACTGTGTATAAGTATTACCGGAACCGCTTTCCCGAAACTGCATTCCATGGAGACCCACCTACAATTGAGGAACTGCACTAGACCCACCTTTAATCCACCCCTGAATAAAATCTATGTTTTATTGTTAAAAGACTTTATGAGCTGATAATTGAAACACGTAGCCCCGCTCCCATTTACTTGTATGTAACACATTCTCAATAAAAAGGCACAATAATTCCTAGCAGTTGTCACTCCTTAGAGAGCGATCTCTGAGGGGTGTCCGGCATAAGACGTGCATAAAAGGCATCGAGGCCTCTGTCTTCTGTTCACCTTCGCCGCCTTCGTCGAGATAACCCACCCACGCCGAGGCTGGACCCCGGCAGTGGAAGTTTTAGATTTTTTTTGTTTAAGAGAGATTTTTGCTATGGGGTGTGTGTGCTTTCCAGAGATACAGAGAGAGACAGAAAATGAAAAATTACCCCCTCAGGGTAATGGTCATGCCACAATCCCTTCTTCTCCTTTCTCCTCTCGGGATTTTGGGCATACATGCACACGTGCCCAGCATGAGTTTTAAGCCACCAGGTCTGGGACTCGAACCATGGTCAACTACGTGGGAGTCTAGCAACATAACCATTATGCCATCTGCTGGCCCCAGCCAAAAATCATTAAAAAAAAAAAAGTTCATATTTCAACTACTTCTTAATGCTACCCAAGACCTTGATCTAGATCTTCAATCTCTTCCTTGAATGATTGCAATAACCTCCTCAAAATCCAAAAACAGTCTTTAAAAATGTAAATTAGGCCAGACTGTAGGTGGTTAAGCCATCTGGATCCCACATGGCCAACCACACAGATCAAGTCCTAGACCCAGCTGCTTAAAAACACAGTGGGCACATATGTGTGCCCCAAATCCCAACAAGATGGAGAAATATAAAAGAAGAGATTGAAGCATGACCACATCTCATGGTGGGGTACTTTTTCACTTTCTCTCTGACGAGTACACATACCCTCTAGCATATTTTAAGAAAGAAAAAAAGTAAATCAGACCCTGTCATGTTCTCACTCAGCTGCCCATAGTTAGAATGGTTTCCTACCATACCTAGAACAATTTTTTTTAAACAGAGATTTTTGCGATAGAAAACATACACTCACTGGAGACACAGAGAGATAGAGAGACAGAGACAGAGAGACAGAAAGTTAGAACTCAATCCCTGGGGGAGGTGGCCACACCACAATCCCTTCTCCTCCATTCTCCTCCTGGGATCTTGGGCATGCACACATAGGCACTAGGTATGAGCTGCTGAGTCTAGGACTCAAACTATGGTTGACTAGATGGGAGTCCAGTGAGGTAACAATTATGACATCTTCTGGTCCCACCTAGAACAATACCTAAATTCCTCCCCAGGGACTCAAGGTTCTCTAGGATTTGTGCTTGGCATCTCTTCAACCTCATCTCCTCCCATTCTTCCCTGCCTCACTATCCTCCAGCCCTTTCTGCTCTTCCTCAAGTTGGTGAGTATTCCTCAGGGCCTTTACATCTAGTCCTCTCTTCGGGCATGGCTGGCTTGCTTGCTTACCTTATTCAATTCTGAGCTCAAATGCTGGCCCCTTCGAAGAGTTCTGTTTACCCTACTTCCCATGATCCTCTATGCTTTTAGTAAACATTATCAGATGCTTACCCATTCACAGTTGTTTGCTATTATCTTGCCAATTGGAATCAAAGCTTCATTAGGAACAGCACTTTCAGCTATCTTCTCGGCTGCTAGAGGAGAGTCCAGCATACTGTAGATGCAAAAGAGTGAATGAATAACTGAAAAATTCACAGTATTATGATATCAAATGAATAAGAGATTCATGAAAACTCTATTTAAACTCTGGAGCACTAATCATGTGTAAGTAGTAATAACATTCATTATATTTTAATAAGCATGAATCAAGCAATTGCTTTTGTGCTAGGTACTCTACAAGGCACTATAATTACAAAAATAAATAAGAAAGAATTATTGCTCACTCTAGCTAGAAAATTGGGGGTGGGAACAAATACAGGTAAGTGTTATTCTAGAATTATCTAGCCAAGAGCTATTGAAGCATATTGAAAGATAAGGAAGTTTTATTTTGCTTGGAAGTACAGGAATAAATGAAGTCTTCACCAAAAGAAAAAGTTGGGATTGGAAGATTGTGGGTGAGCCTGGCAGAAGAGGAACAGGAGAAGAGGCAGAGCAGGCAGAGGGAAGGCTCTCAGTGTGTGCACCTACTGTGCACTTTGCTAAATAGCTCAAAACAGGCACCTTCTCCATTCCTGCCTTTCCTGGTCATTCCCGAAGCCCCAGTCTTCCTCAGAGCTGGCCTGGTGCTTTTTGTCTTTCACTGTGCCCTTTTCCTCATTGATCTCTAACAGATAAAAAGTTATAGCTTCATAGTATTCCTCTTTTCTGTCCCCAGAGGTTATGGCAACTCCAGACTGCCCATCTTTGTACTTACTATCACCACACTTGCAGCTGTCCAGCTGTTTCAGATATCTGAAATCCACCCTCACAATAGCTTAGTAGGAACAAATACTTTTTCACTGTTAAAGTTTTTTATATTGGAACCAGCAGATGGTGTAATGGTTAGTTACATTGCTGGATTTCCACATAGTTGACTGTGGTTCGAGTCCTGGACCCGTGGCTTAAACCTCACACTGGCACGTATGTGTGCATGCCCAAAATCCTGACAGGAGACTGAAGAAGGGATTGATGTGAGGCCATCCCCCTGGGGGTGATTTCTCACTTTCTATCTCTCTGTCTCTCTCTGTGTGTCTCCAGTGAATGTACGTGCCCTATAACAAAAATCTAAAAAAAAAAAATCGTATTTACATAAAACTTCCTTTTATGTAGTTTCTCACAGATTATCAATTGAAGAAGATATTTGGTTTTAGAAACAAGAATCAGAATAAAGCAAAGAAGGTGGGAGAAGGTACTTAACATTGAGTAGTCTGTATTTATTACATGAATGAATGACTAGATGAACTAATGAATAAAATGAATTTAAACAATTTACAAATGTGTTGTATTTTCAGATTCAACTTTATGATTACCTTATCTTGAAACTGTGATACATTTTCCAATAAGAACAATCTTACAAATTTACTTAAGTGCCAGGAAACTTTCAAAGGTTCTGGAGGGTACTGCCTTCTTTTAATGTCAATTTCAAATGAAAGATGTACACATCTCTTCCCTTGGTATAATATATCCTTGTACTATACTTTTTTTTTTTCAGAGAGAGAGAGATTTTTGCAATACAGTGCACTCTCCAGAGAGAGAGAGAGACAGAAAGCGAGAAATTACCCCCCGCCCCGGGAGGGGATGGCCATGCAGCAATCCCTTCTCCTCCATTCATTCTCCTCTCAGGATATTGGGCACACACTTGCACATGCCTGCCATGAGTTTCAAACCTCTGGGCCTGGAACTCAAACCATAGCCAATCATGTGGGATCTAGTGCCTCAACCACTTTGACACCTGCTGGTCCCTCTTGGTACTATACTTTTAATGAGGCAAAGAAGAGCTTGATTCTGACTTTGAGGAAGAATTCTGGAGATTATATGAGGTGTAATCAGCTGAATGACATTTGGAGGAAAACAGAGGAAAAGAGGCCAGTTCTGTAGCCCAGTGGTTAAGCAAGCTGGAACCAACATGGCTGACCAGTGACTTCAAACACCAGGTACATGGATGTGCAGGTCCAAAAATCCAAACGAGATGGAGAAATAGAGAAGGAACTGTGGCACAACAATACCCCACAGTAGGGTGATTTTTCCTGTTCCCTTTCTCTCTGTCTCTCTCTGGTAAGCACATGTGCTTTCCGGCAATTTTTTAAAAAAAGGTTTAAAATAAAAAAGAAAACAGAAGAAAAAGAATAAAAATTGGTGTGAGCATGATTCTGTCTAAAGAGAAAAAATAATATGGTAGAAGAAAAGATACAAGAAGGTTGTAACACAGCTCAGGACAGGTTGCCATCGGCTAGACCCACGGAATGATGGTACTGGAGTGTTCAAGCAATCAGAGCTCAGTCAGACTTTTTAGGAGCTTGAAATGCTGACAGTGACTTAATATATCTGGGAGATGTTTGCAGAATGTAGAATGTGTATGTTATCATACCCTTCCTGTCGATTTTGGTGACATATGTCCTATGGAATGGGTCTTATAGATTCCTAAAGGAACTTCAGAAACCCTTGCCTTTGATCTGAAAGATGTCAAGTTTCATTTGCCAGTCGTCCCCCATCCCTTTCTCATCCTTCTCTTCCTCTAGTTTTCACTGTTTGATCCTGACCAATCACTTAATCCTCTACTTCCCAGTTTTCTTATTTAAACGACAACATTGAACTAGATTATCTATCCCAACTCTGAAAGTTTGATTACGTAATTCCTGAAAACGACAAAACAAAAAGTAACAAACCAGGAGGGCACCTAATTACCCAGGTCAAAAAAGCTGTGGTTTCCAAAACGGTTATTTCTGAGTACCATGGATGATTCAGGCATCCACTTTTGTCCAGATGCAGTGACCTCTCTCCTCTCCAAGCTGTTTCAGCGGCACTGAGACTTATCCAGAAGTAGTGTCGGAAACGTAAAATTTCCCTTTTGTTAAAAGTAAATAGGGTCGGGAACCAGCGAAATGGCTATGTCGCTGGACTCCCACGTAGTCGACCGCGATTCGCGGCTCGACTGGTAGTTTAAACTCACGCCGGGCATGTGCGTGCACGCCCAAGATCCCGAGAGGAGAATGGAGGAGAAGGGATTGTGGTGTGACCATCCCCCCTGGGGGGTGATTTCTCGCTTTCTGTCTCTATGTCTGTCTGTCTGGCGAGCGCACGCGCCCTATAGCAAAAACCTCTCCAAAAAAAAAAAAGTAAATAGGGTCAGCTGGCGGCGTGGAGGTTAACATGGCTAGATCCCACATGACGAACTGCTTAGTTGAGTCCCAGATCAGAGCCTTGAAAAAAATCACGCCAGGCGCGTGGGTGCTCCCAAACCCAAGGACACTGGAGAAGGTACTGTAGCGTCACCGCTCCCTCTCTCTGGAGAGCACACCTACCCCATAGTAAAAACTAGAAAATACAATAAAACAATTCGAAATCTGTTCACTCCTATCTCCTCCGACTCAAAGGCTTCCTAGGTGCCCACAAGTAGATAAACTCTTATCTCTCCACCTCGAGTTCCCCTTCTGGCGCTCCACAAGCACTGACTGACAGAAACACCGGTGAAGCCCCTAACCGCAGGCCTTATCAGCGCAGGAGGGCTCGCGGCAGGAAAACGCCGGGGTAAGCGGAGGCAGAGCCGCCACACTTCCGGTAGCCAGACCGGGCGCTCGCCACACTTCCTGTTGATCCGGCTGGGCCGGGGGCTGGACTGGGAGGAGGGCTGGGAGGAGGGCCGGCGGGCGGGCGGTGGCGGCCACTGGCCTGGCGTGGGCGCGCGCGGAGTCGCTACGGGCACGGAGCGTCTGCCGTGTCGCCTGAGTCCGGAGCAAAC